AAAGGTGCCCGATCACTCAAAATACCTTGAATGCCCGAGGTTCCTATATGCAGAGGCAGTTGATGATCCTAGTCAGTCAGGTCAGAACAGAGAACTGGCCACGACTACAAAGTTACTTCCAGAAATAGTAGCAGGATCCCCCAAACACCAACTGAGGCCAAGCTCCCAATACCCACTAGTGTAAAACCAGATAAGTTGGTAATCAATTTAAGGTTGTCATAACAAAAATGGCACCAATGCTAGCTTGGAACTGGCAAAGTTACATTTGTTATTTTATCGCATGCAACCTCACAAATAAGTTCACAACCACAATTATACTGTACTGGGCTTTAATAAAAGGCAGAAATGTCACTATTATTCAGCAGAATAACATCAAATGGCTACTATCACAATCAAGAATATTTTGAAAACGCCATGCACTTTCTGCTCAATGATTTCTCATTCATTTTGACACGGTATCATTGGATGCAACAACCATTTCTCGTTTGCTTGTCACAATGTACTTTAACGAACATGCCCCTTTAAATCACCAGTCATCTGGAAACAAAAGACTGAAGGCTGCAATTTAAAATAATCTCTCCAAAGCAGTTAGTGGCCACTATCACGCAAGTGAATCATCTTGGCAAAGCTGCTCTCTATAAAGAATCAGGCCAAGCTCGTTGTGTTTTTTATTTTGGTTTGGACAAAATTGAGTCTGAAATTTTGACCAGATCAGCATGTTGAGGAGCACAGTGGTTTTTTTAGAGCGACACGTGCAGGATAAATTACACAAATTTCCCAGGTTATTGGGATCCAATCATTGCCAGTGTGTGTTATATCATCAGAAGCCATAATATAAAAAATAATGAAGATGTATAAAATATTGCCTGCGTTTTTAAAAAAATACTGCCCAAAAGTAACTTGTAAAACAATGAAATGTGTATGCTTTTACAATATTCTGGTCAATATGATTTCTATGAAAGCTATTTTTAGTCAAGTGCAAATATTAATTTACTTGAGACAACTATAAATCATTCTTAGTGCAAGAAAAACGTAAAGGTTTATCACCACTAGGAATGACCAGATTCGTTCCTTTGTGGTCTTCTACAAATTTTGTTTATGGTTGTTCTTTTTCTCAAAATGCTTTGCTAAGAGGATAGTTCTTCCTCAAACTTTCCAACTCAGGGGTTCTCACGGTTCCACTCCTTCCCATAGTGTTTGTGCACCATATAAATGACCGTTCCCACCATAGCATGATAACCACAACTTTCAAAATTCATGATCTTAATTTCTCTTGCAGCTCAATGGCTGAATCCAACCTCAATATACACATTAGATGTTGAGGCAGGAAAATAATGTTTTTATTAAAATTCTTCAAAGTCATTCTTCACACCTTTCAATTCTTCGCCATGGCTGCCATCTAATTTGGATATCTCCACTCAAAATTGCACAATTCTTACTCCTTGGACTAACTTTCTCCTACAACGTTATTATGGCTTTTAAAGCCAACAATTGACTTCACCCAACATTTTTCTCACGGTTCTCAACTTTCCCTCGTCGTTCAACTGTGCGCGTCTCAAAGCAGTTACCCACTAACCCATTCAGAAAACTAAGGTCCCATTATTCAAACCACAATCTGTGAACCATGTGTTACACATTTAACTGGATCTTTAAATTTGAAGACCTTACTTAATTTAGTCTCAAGATTCCTTTTTTTAAAAAAATCAAAGCTTATCTATAACATCATTGTAAAAGTTATTGTTTCAACTAACTTCACTTACAAAATAGTCACTACACATTAAATCATATGAAACGCTTTGAGGCATCCTCCTGACGAATAAAAAATAAGAATCCTTGCATTTGATATAGAGCTTTATCACATACCTCGTTGAGATGTTTCCAAGCGCTTTACGGAATATTGTAAAATGCTGTCCATCACCCTTATGTGTACACCCACAATATGTGGAGTCCTGTAGCTCAGTGGTTAGAGCACTCGCTTTGCAAGCGAGAGACCCGAGTTCAATTCCAGGCAGAGGGCGAAACCTTGGGCAAGTTTCCTTACTCCACACAGAGCCTAATAATAATCCCTCCAAAACAAAAAAAATTGGCCATTTTCAATCTACGACTGTTTGTGCGGAATTGGCTGCCGCGTTCGCCCACAAATATACAGTCAATTCACTTTACAGTATATTCTGTGAAGCGCTTTGAGACGTCTAGAAGACGTGAAAAGTGCTATATCAAATGCAAGCATTATTATTATTATGGCTCGCTCTCCTTCGCAAAGTGTACTGGGTGGCCTCTGTGTTCAATCCTCACTAATGAATGCAAGTCCCTATAACTAGGTGTAACTTGACTAATGAGTTCTTCCGCAACAACAGGTACTACCAATTGTTATTTAAATTAAAGCAAATTGGGAAGCTTCAGTCAATCAAGAGGTTTATTTTACACCTCTGTGACCTCAGCTGAACCTGTTTATGTATTCCCTCCTTTGATTTATACAGAAAGCTCGAGTTAAGCACGGTTAAGTTAGCTCAACAGAATTTTACTGTAGCTTCAATTAAATCTGCATTAAATATTAAACCACACGATAAATATCAACAAACACAACTATGAGATAACAAACATTAATCACATTTAAACTACACATGTTAGCAGCCACTTGTAATGAAGTTAATGTAAAGTGCACAAAGAACCAACCTCTGACTACTACTCATCAATAATCAGAGCACGTACCTTGGTGGTCATCAGGTAGAAAAATAGCAACCACAAGCACGTGATGCTCGTTCTTTTATGGGCATTGAGCCCCTCCCCAAATTAGGGTAATTGTATATTAATTAATATTAATTAGGGCAATTGTATAGAACCAATTACTTCATGTTACTTCAATCGCTTCAATTACTTCAAATTGTTGTTATCAACGCTAGAGTCAGACTTGATGGCACCATAAGTATCAAAAACGTTAAATGCACAAAAAAATTTAATTATTTAAAGTGCTAAATTTAAACAACAGACAGGCAAAGAAAACAAAACGGGGGACCGTGACAGTGGGCGAAACACAGGAGCCAAGTGCGCACAGCAGTGTCCCACAAATAGTCATGGATTGAGTGACCATTTTTTTTGAAGGGATTATTACCTAATCAACTGGGTTCCTACTTACAGATAGATAAATGAAGACATGTGGAATAAGGAAACCTACCTAAAGTTTCACCCAGCTCGGGAAACAAACCTGTGTCCTCGTGCTTACGAGGCAAACACGCTAATCACTACGCTACGAGACTCCACGAAAGGCACAGAATGCATCAAATGCAAGGATTAATATTGTAACTTAAATCCGCTCAGTCAGTAAATTGTCAATGCAATTTCAGAAGTGATGATGCTGAAGCAAATACATTTTAATCAATTTACCCTTTATTAAACAATCATACATAGAAATTCTAGTATCTACACCCTTTGCTGAAGTTTCAGTAAAATGTTGGTTGAGCCATAAACTTTATTTACTGTAAGCATAAGCAACAATAATAGTGCATCACCTTAGATTAAATTTCTGGCTTTTTGTGTGCAGTACAAACATAGGAGAAAGATTGATTATGAAGAATAGTACACCTTTTTGAATATACTGCATAAAGTTATAACCATTAACGTTTCATCAACCACTAAAAATAAAATGTCATCATTAGCGCAATTAACCAGGTTCTTGAAAGCTTCATCACAGGCATGTGCGGCATAAATTTCACAGACTTCCCAGGTTTTACATGGTTAAGTTTCAGATTCGAGCAATGAATATCATAACGAGATCAAGCAAACTGCTGGATATAGGGAATTTTGGGCCTTTCCACTGTTCTTCATATGTAAAAATTACGTACACCAGAACCAAAAAACCTACAATAGAAATGGACCCCCGACACTAGGAATTAGGTTTGCGTGTTTTCTTCAACTATTTTTAAGTTAAGTAATTTTTGCTCTTAATTTACTCTTTATCCTCTTTCCCTGCTCCCCTTTGATCAAAAGTCTCCAGCCACTTGTTGTAAACAGAAGTGGCACAAACTGCAAACTTGCGAATTGTGTTTCCTTTCCCATATCACACATTCCAAAATTTAGGATTTCATAAGTTGCTCAGTCACGAACCAACGCTCAGTCAAAAAGGAAGGGTAGCTGCATTTGAAAGACATTAAGAATGGACATGTGGATATGGTACTTAAGAGCATCTGGTGACAAAGGAATCAAACATATACCTAAGAAAGTTACCATTTGATCCATATGATACTTTTCATTCTGTCACTACAAAAAGTAATGTTTCTTCCTTCTCATCCCCCCAATTTTATTTCCTACTTAAACATACTACCCATGGATAGTCGACGTTTGCCAAGAAACCCAATTTAATGCAGCTATTCTGAACTTCCGTACTTCAGTAAATCACAAAAACAAAAGTACTTTTTTCCCTGCTTTTTTAATAGATAGTTGTGAAGAAGGAGCCCCATCTTCATCAGAATCATTTGATATAATAAAGGACAACAATGAACCAATCACTACCATTAAGTAAACTGGATCACATATTGAGGACGTGCGCAAGCAGCAGCTTATCTCCTCTGTCATTTGTTCACAATGACAGCTGACAACCCTACACAAATCCGTATGGACTTACTGATCAAATAGATCCTCTTTAACAATTCTACACAGCGGCACAATCGAAAATTCCTGCTACTTCTTTCCATTGCTCAAATAATGGCTGTCTTTTTACTAATACCTTCTAGTCGCATGCCTCCAAGCTACATCAATACCGCTTAATACTTAGTCTATTGAGAGTGTTCTAATTAATATATAGGAAACTATGCATGGAAGAACATTTTGTAAACTTTTGACATAATACCTGGCATTTATATTGATTCAAATTTCACGTAATAGTTAACTTTCTAAGTAAAAGAACAAATTACTAAAATGTACCCATGTTTCTATTATATAAAATATGAACTAAGAACTTCAATATTTAAGATTATAATACTAAAGTAAAAAAAGACACATACCTTGGTTTTACTCCAAAAACACCCCTAGGGCATTTCGGTTGTAAAACAATTGATAATCTTCAGACATTATCCTTTTCACTCTGCCAAAAGAGCAAATAAACACTATTTAAAACGCAACAGTATACAAACCCCATTCTATTCCTTAGACTATATTTTTCAATACATGAATCAGTCATTACAATACATATTTTACAACTCAAAAATTCTTTATTAAGTTATGATATGGAATTCATTAAATCAAAGAGTTGGAAAGTATTTTATGGAGCTACTAGGTTGCTCACAATGCAACCCTGCTGTATTTTTACCTCTTGGACTAAGTTTGAATCAACCCAAAACTAGGCACGAGAATCAGCTCTCTCTGCCAAGTATATTGGGCATTCATCCAAACAGACATGATTTCATAGCACAAAATTGCTAGAATTCAAAAGTTAAGGGGATTTAAAGGCCACATGGATGACTGATATACTGTACAAAATAAAAATATCACTCTAGTGCAGGAAGAAGTGCCCTTCAGAGCCTGAAGTGAAGGCACAATGTTGAATTAGAGTAGTACATCAAAGTATGCCCAACCAGGGATATTCAGTACAAATAAAGCACAAAAAACTATTCATGAAGTCAGTGACAGAACCAAATGTACACAAACATTTAAGATAAGCATTGTATGAACACACTCGCACTGCAAGATACCAACAAAAATACCGATCTGCGCAGATATGAATGCATGTGCACAGGTATTAGAGACGTTCCAAGTCCCAGTCCAGATATGTGATGTTAGCATTTTTGTGCACAGCAACATGAATGTTTTTGCTGGTAACAAAGTCTATTGCAATATACAATTTAAGTTTAGAGATAAAAATCAGATAGAGAAAATGTTAGAAAGATGGGAGACACAGACAAATCTAAGAAAAAGTGGCAAAGAGGAAAGGCCTGACGCCATATGTACTACAATGACGGTATAATTCTTGATGTAAATTATACCGTCACTGCAGCCAATTTGCTTTTTGGGTGATGTCCAACTCTCCATATTGTCTTCTTACCCACAAAGGGGCTAGTTCCAATTAGTGGAGATAATCAGCTCTTTAACCTTTTCAGATATTGTACATTTCCAACATTTTCTGCTTTTTATTTCAATTACAATGTCAATTTGACACTTCTGGCAGATCACAGGCACTCTAAATTCAAACCCATAATTACACCTTGGCTAATATGCAATACCCAAATATCAGCAGCATCACAAAACGGACTACATAAATAATCCATTATAAAAAGTGTTTTCATTCCTTCAGTTTTACAAATTTGAAATATTACTCTGGAAGCAATTTGGTTAAAATTCTGAGAGCTTTCATAATATGGAAGAGAAACCCTATCCTATTTTTGTTGGGGAGACTAAGAGGAGGAGAAAACAAAAAGCACTCCCTTAGCACCTTCTCATTGAAACATTTTGCAGTCTAGGCTTTACGATTGAAATCACACACCTTAACTCACAGAGGTAAAGAAATCCATGCCCATGACTGAATTGTAGCTCGAAAACATCTAAAACTTATTGCTTAATTATCTGGAATACTTGACATGGTTTTTAATTCACGAATGCATTCCCCTGTGCGTTAACCTGATATAAGTGCCTCCAGTTGAAATTCAGAGGTTGTATTTTAAGAACAGGCTCATTTGATATTTGGTTAATGAAGTGCTAGGCTGAAATATTGAATTTTTTAAAAAATTACTGCACAAAAAGTAGTGCTTCAAGAAGTTACCCGTGTGAAGGGGTGTGTGTAAAGCAAGTTGTTACATCTCGAGCTGGTTTATATCTCCCTCAGTTCAAATTCTACCCTCAATCAGTTTCCATACTCTGCAAAGCATTGATTCAGCTTTCAACTGAGCTCTTAAAACTCTTGAATTTATAATCTTTTCACACTTAAGAAATTGCTTGCACAGTTGTCAACTGTAAATGTAGAATCCCACCTCTAAAATGCAATCAAAACTGCAAATTACTTGAAAACTAGGTTAACAGAATAGATTTAAGATGAGACCGATGTGCCAACCGTGCGCGTGGATTAGAGTCAGAATAAAATGGGAGCTAGGCAACTGATGAACAGCGTTTTTTAAGGATGGAATGAATGTTCATACAAGATGGCTTTTTCTGGACTACCTCACTATTTACTCATTAATGACTTTATATTCCAAAGGTTATCAAACAATATTTCAGATGATCTATCCTTCCTTACATTTCCACTATTCAATACTGCCCAACTGTCTTGTGGAGAAAACGTTTCCTCATTTATGGTCAATAAAAACAGCCCAAATAGCAAGATGGCCAAATATCCAAAACTAAAGCCTTCCTAAATAAATTCTCATCAATTATATGTAGCAAGTGATGCACCTTAAACATAACACTCAAACAAAGTTTTCCATCAAAGATTTTAAATGCATCTTTCCTGTTAATGTTGGACTATCCTATATGAAGCGCAAGTCCAAAGACAATTTTTTGCATGCTGCATGAAATCACTTGGACATGGATTTAAATCCATTTTAAAGTGCTGAAAATTGATCAAAACAACACTCATTTATAACTAACTCCTTTGCAAGTTTCATAGAAAAAAAATTAAAATGCCCACGTTCTAGTCTAAAATAGGATTTTTTTTTTTGTGATGAAACAGCATTTTAGATGAAAGACGTTCACTTCAAAGACTAACCTACCAAGCTTCACTTCCAACTTCTGACAAATGACTGGAGTGGGAAGATTGTGACATAATTGTTTGCACAAACTCAGCAATGTACCTACAAAGCTGGAGCTCTACTATCAAAATAAAATAAGCTTATTACAGAATAAATAGCACATCCCATTATTCAATGATGAATTTTCATTGTCAAATTTTGAACTATTATATAGCTACATTCATATTATACAGAGTCAATTCACTTTATAATATATTCTGTGAAGCACTTTGAGACGCCTCGAAGACATGGTGAGGCGCTATATCAAATGCAAGAATTATTATTATGCTCCTCCACACAACTTAAAAATATTGACCTCAAAGTGCTTTCATAAAAAAAGTCAAACTTGTATGTCTTGCTAAATGTTAACAGTTATAATTCATAATTTTTTTGAATCTCCATAATTCATAAATAACCCTCCCTTCCATCAATCTGCTTAGAAAGCCATGTGAACCTTTGTACTTGTTTATACAATTGTTTCTATCAGTTTATCTATGGAACGATTGACCCACAAAAAATGTCATTAGCCAGGTGACATATGTACATGGCTGCCAGACATATTATTTTCATAAAAATGTGACTAATGTGTGTATCTGAGTTGATTCACTTGTGATAACTTGGCACATTCCCAATCTCTGTAGTCCACTAGGGTTTTGCACTTCGAGCCACTTCCTCTCCTGTGAAGGAGTAATCTGAATGTGGTAGACAATAGTACTCGTATTAGCAATTCAGCCCTTCAAGAAAAATACAAATTTGTTGCATTTATAGAAATAAGGATGCCAATTGCACAACTGCTTCTGTTGGGAGTAACCACTGCCTAATCCCCGAGAGAGAGAGAGAGAGAGAGAATGCTTCCGACTTATTTTTTTGGCCCCGATACAACCAGCAAAGCAGTTTTCACCCATTCCTAACCTGTAGGCCTTCCCCAAAGAGTGGCGAAAATCTACACCACAGAAGTTAGTCACAATTTACAGCTGTTCCCACAGGCGCTGAAGATATATAAATAATGTAAAAGAAGTTTCATTTTAATCTATGATGGAATTATTTCTGATCAAAACTCATCCACATGAAAACCCCAAATACTCAGTAAGGCAAATTTAGTTGAAATCAAAAACCTTCAACTTCAGAGCAATTTCACAGGTTACTTGTGTATCTAATATACAACATCCCACTGTATTAGCTGGGACAATTTTGAGGTAAAATCAGAAAACTTTCCTGTTGAAAGATACCATAATTTTCCTCAAACAGAACTCGTACTGAATTGGGTAAAATTTAGATCAAAACTAGACCAAATTTAGATCAAATGCAAGGATTATTATTATAGACCATACGCTAAAAACAAATCACTGAATTGCAAGACTTCAGTCCCCTAGAATGTACAAACCTTTCATTACTGTCAAACATATTGAATAAATGTCAAAAATACAGTACTGGTGTATTATCTCAGTATAACCAGCAAAATAATAATGATTACTCAAAATTCTTAGTTTAATTATGCACAGCAGTAATAACTAAAAACGTATTTTCTACAACATTTAAATAGCACCTTTCACCTCATGAGGAGAATGTCTCAAAGCACATGACACAGCTGACTGGGCATCTGAGCTTGGGGCGAGAGCCAAAGGGGGAAGGAAGGGGATAGATGACCAAACGTATTCGGAGAAATGGTCTAGAACAAGGGGTGGGAGGGAGTAAGCTAGTCAGAGGGACTCTTGAGATAGAGTTCCAGAGAACATGTGCAGAATGGCTGAAAGCCCACCTGGCGATTGTGGACCAGATATGGTAGGGAATAAGAAGCAGTCCAGTGTTTGTTGAACAAAGGGAGAGACCAGGTGAGTAGGGTTGAAGGAGGTAGCAGAGTAGGGTGGGGTGAAACTGTGGAGGGATTTGAAGGTGAGAACAAGCATCTTTAACTCAATCTGCTTGAGACAGGGAGACGGTGAGCAATGGTAAAGCACAGAAATGTACCTCCATTTAACTTAAATCTGAAAAACCTCTTCTTACACACATAAATTTTTAAATTTACCACACTAGCCATCCCCAAAACCAAAGAGAGTGTTTTTACTTCGGTCCACAATTGAGTCTAAAACCGGTAGTGCAAAACATCTGCAATTTGGACATTCTTGTCCTAGGCTACAATTAGATTTGCTTTTCTTATCAACTCACAAAATTCTTATGAAGAAAAACTGGCCTCAATGTTTTAAATCTCTAAGAATAAATTGAACAAAATAAACATTAATTTTCATAAGATGAATGTATTCGTATGCATTATACTTACCGATTCAATTAATTATTTTACTACTAAAAACACTGTGTGGACCATAAGATCTGGGAACTTATGAAGTGATGAACAGGTTGCTGGGGGAAG